AAATAGGGTAAAAACGGTATATTAAATGCAGTAAAACTACGGTAAATTCAATATGATAAACTTGCATTCTTTAAGCATGGGCTGCATAGTAAGTGAACTAAACTAAATGTTAAGCACCCTGGCAAACCACTTCGTTCTATTCAATTTCTTTATTTAATCACTTTGTCCGGCTAGAATTTTTAGATTAGATTAAAGGAACACCCTCCCTGGTAACGGCTGAACTAGTTAACCAAATACAAATATTTAGGTAAAATACTTTCATAAAACCCGTCTACTTCCCCCACCAGTAGACTTGTTCAGCTAAAGGCATAATGTAATGTTCCACTTTAGTAAATAAAGACTTAAAAAAACACTACCCCATCTGTGTAGTTACCGGTTACCTGACATTCTACGCTTAAAATAACCCATCTATTCCCCATAATTGTTCGATATAACTTACCTCTCACCCGCTGGTCGAGTACACAGCAGTATATATCCTCCTCCATCACTCACCGCGTGGATACTATTTCACTCTGGCCGCAAATTGCCTCAAATCACCTACGTTGTCCATAAACATATATAGAAGAGCAACTGACCGTAACACCCGTATAGCGATCATCACATAACGTGGGAACATTAGTAGTACTGCTGTCAAAACATAGATGGCGCCAGGACAAACGGTAATTCCTATGGACTCGCCTAGTTATGCGTAGGGAATTGAGCTTCAGCTGTTTGGTCCCGCCCCTCAGCTGTATTCACCTAGTTGTACTCACCTAATTTGTGCTTGCAGGGGTTGAGCTTTGGTTCTTTGGTCCCGACTCTCAACCGTCAATCAACAGGTGTACAGGTTCCTGAGCCTATTGGGCTCTATCACATCTACATTTGAAATTGTGTATGGAGTCAGCCTCCACCACATCACTGCTTAATACATTCCATTTGTTAACTACTCTGACACTGAAAAAATTCTTTCTAATATCTCTGTGGCTCATTTGGGTACTAAGTTCCCCTTGTTCGTGTTCCACCCGTGTTAAAGAGCTGTCTTTGTAACTATCAAAATGCATATATCTTTGCTTTCACTTCAGTTATATTTATGACAAGGGATTTAAAATTTGCCTATATTTCTGCTTCTCTGATGACATTAAAAACTTTCGTTTATTACAGTATCTACATAAAATTAACATTTATCTTCATTAGGTTGTAGTTCTCATCAATAGGGAGAGCGTCGGTAAAAAAAAAAAATTGTTTAAATATAAATATCTTTCCTCTCTCAATAATATGCCCGAAACGCTATGCGTACTAGTGGCTTTAGGTATTGTATGTACTAGCTCTATCTATAAATCCAATATTATGTTTGTAAATCGACTATTTATGTACTTTCCTGAATAAAATGAACTTTACTTTACTAATATCTAATCTCTGTGACTAAAACGTAAGAACGACTTTATCTATGCCTTTTTGATAACATATACAATTATAAGCTTTATTAGTGAATCTCTATTAATTAAACAATATATCAGAGAGTGTGTAAGGTTCGGTGTTCCATGTGCGAAGAGACATGGGAGATTTTACATCAGTACAGTAAATGTTTTAAGTAGCGAACGCATACTAACGAATAACGATTAGTATAGACCAACACTATTGTTCTATGAAGTCGATTTAACTTCCAGACATGTATTTTTCAATAAGTCTTAAATATTTTCTGGCTAGTTATGTTAGATATTATTAGAAATACGTATTCTACTTGTTAATATAATAAACTAAATTTGCGATCATTTAAGGAGAGACAACATTGACACCTGGACCGTTGACTTCCTATGGGGGGCAGTCATCGGGAGGACAAACCCTTCATGCAAACTGCACCTACTATCAAGAAGAAGAAGACTTCCTATGAGGCCACATATTTACTTATTTCATAATGGAAGTATATTATTTTATAGTAAATATATGTTTTCTCGTGTTCTGCATTAAGCACCAACATTATAATGAATAAATATACCATATTTCTTCATTATTTAAGTAATGCTAGGAGGCTTTGAGTAGCTTTGGGTCATTAGGTGAACAGAATCTCCAATAGATGGGGCCAGAGTCGCCCTATCTCTCGCCCGAGCGAGAGTCGAAACTTATTTTAGAATTGATATATCTTTGTCCTCCAACAAGATATATTTCCTTTGGTGCACTCACAATAACGAGCATATCTCTGTCTTTCTGAAGGCATATAATATTTTAGGCTTTATAAGCGTATCTTTGTTAATTACACACTATATTGGCAAGTGCGTAATATAGTGTAATATATTGAACCCAGGTCTACCACTTGAGTCTAGGACGTAGATCGCCTTTGTACTACAGCATCGATGTTCACTAGTGACTTTATTAAATATTAGTGTTTTACGTAACAAGTTCAACCATTGTACTGTGTTCTGTATAAATTAAATAATTATTATTATTATTCCGAGCGTCATTAATCATGTTACCGAAATTAATACTCTAATTGGTATCAAAATGTTTAGGCTAGATCATCCTAACTCTTGCACAAAAGCCCTCCAGACCTCCATTAAAAGTCAATTTAAAGGGGTCGATGAGATCAGCCCTTTCTTATCTGATTTGCAGTGTTGTTAGTCATGTGACCCTCAATCTTTCCTGGTATGAGAGTCGACTTACTTCTGAGATGATTTTGTCGCTCTGCGTTGTACTTTTACAAATCAGATATTCTGAAGACGAGGTCTCCATGTCTGGATACAATATCCCAAATGGGAGGGTGGGAATTATCTGGGGAAAGCACCAAGCCATTACGACTATATAGCACTTGGAAGGGGGTCGAGATAAGGATTTTGGATGGAACGGGGGGGGGGGGGGGGGGAAGGAATGTTGCCCAACCGCTTGGACGGTTCGAGATTGAACGCCGACCTTCTTTTCCTTCAAGTCAAAAGTTCATTTGACTATTCCTAGGGTTTGGTTGCCCCCATCCATTTTTTTTTTTGAACTGCAGCTCCCACTTATTGTACAAGCTTCAATGACTGATGGATTCTGACCAATAGGTTATTTGAGTCTTTTAATCTGCTGCACAGTAGTGTTGTTGATTTGATAGTTGTGATGAGCATTGTTATACCCTACATGCAAGGTCTTAATTTTTCAGGATTAAAAAGCATTTGACAATCTTCCGACCCATTTCGAGCTAATAGAGATCTATTTGTAAGGCCTCTATTAAACTTTCTACTTTTCCATAGATCTTAAGTGTCATCTGCAAATTTGATGACGTGGTTTGTAATATTCTCATACATGTCACTGATGCATAAAACAAAGTTGGTCCCAATATGGAAACTTCAGGTACCACATTTGCCACATTTCTCCAATCAAATCTCTTTCCTCTGTCATCTACATCAATGACCTTCCAAATGCCGTTCAATACCCCAAGCAAATTCTAGTTGCTGATAACCTTAATTTTCTCGAATCCTAACTATCTTGTTCTAAATGACACAGTGAATGCTGAAGTAAAAACATTCCATCTTTGGGTAACTTAACCATCTCATCTTAATATGGATAAAACCTTTGATTTTTTTGTTTGGCAATGAGTCTACCAATCAAATTAACCCAAGAACTAACAATATCCAAATTAGTAACAGTAGATTGTAGATTCCTTGGTGCTCTCATTGATACGTTGAATTTCCAGTGAGATATATATATATATATATATATATATATATATATATATATATATATATATATATATATATAAAAAAATTAAACAGTTGGCATTTATTCTAAAATCAGATACAATGTACCTCGCCTTGCCCTAGTAGCTATTACTTGCTCATTTATACTTCTCACCTATGGTATTTGTGTCTGGGGGTCTATTACCCAAAGTAATTTTCAAACCCTAATTGCTCAACACAGGTCAGCAATTAGAACAAACTCAAGCCCCAGACAGTACTCTGCTTCCGTACTTAAATCTTTAAATATGCTAAATATTTAAGTCACTACACATCCTCTCAAGTGTACTCTGTATAAAAACTCTGAACCGAAATGCTAATCCCAACCTTAAGTGCTTCCTAAAGGGCTGTATCAAACCCTTTGGCACCACACTAGAAACAAGTATCTGATATTCCAAGAGCGCGACTTAACCAAAGCAGACATGCTCTGCAAATCAAGGGGGCCAAACTGTGGAATTACTTCCCTAATCACATCAAAGACTGTCCTCTCAACCAACGAGAATAACTAATTACTACTAAAGTAACTATGTAAACAACCTTGCTTCCTAAATGGTCGTATTGGACATTAATTACTGAACCTGTACTGTTACCGATATCTGCAGTGTAAAATGTTTATATAAAATTGTACCATCTGTCTATCTTTTCAATTTTTAAATGCTTACGGAGAAAAGTGCTAACCTTTGTTCTGTTGCAATTGCTGCTGTTCCTTTCACGTAATTGTCCTTTTATTTGTATTTCTTTACTGCAATTCGTAAGTGCTTCTGATCTCATTTAGTTGCTTCTTACTCCATTATTTTTTTTCCCACATTGTGCCCATAATGCTCTGTATATTAGTGACTTTAGGCATTTTCTTATCTAGAAATCCTCCACTCTCCTCGTTTCTTTTATTTAGACAAGAGTATATACATATTAGCTTTGAGGATAGTTTATAACAAATTATATAACTAGCTTATCAATAATGTAGTTTAGCTAAATTTTTGAGCTCTGTTCATATTTCCAACCTCTTTCTATTACCGCTCACAAGATGGGTACAAAGTGCATAATAATTACATCCAATTAGAAAAAAATTACATAGTTGCTCTTGCAGAGTTCTGTATTTACCAAGATGCCAAAAACTGAGATAGCACAGTTTATTTACAAACATTTCGTACTGATGTATGAAATCAGTAACTCTCAATAGCAGTATTACACGGCTTATGTTATTTCTTAAAAAAGTTGTTGTATATTTATTAATTTAATCCATGTACGGTACTGTACATTATTTTACATCCTTTTTTTTTCAATTCCTAAAACTGATGGGTATAACAAACTTACTTATAGTGAAATTTTATTCCACTTATTTTACAACAGGATTCCACTTGAACCATATTATTTAACAAATAAATGCACATTTTCCTCAATTGTTTTCTTCAGAAAATGCTTCAGAAAAAATAAAAACTCCTTACACATGTTTATTTAAACAAGTAACATTTTTGGTCCAAATACTTGCCATTTCTTTACAACACCGAGACGAGAGGAGAAAAAAAATCATAAAAATAAATAAAGCTTATATTCCCGGCACCAAATACTATCCTCAACTGTGACAAGAGCAATAATGAGGCTAATCCAGATATTCCATAAGGTCTATTTTTGTTACAAGACAGATGAACCTTATTGAAGAACCATACAAGTCTCAAAACATCTAACTGCCACCTTTTTTATGAAAAGTTTGTTCCTATGGACACTACACGAGTGAGAAGATGAAAAACAAATATAAGTTACTATTTACATTGAGATGGTAGATACCCTGTAGAACAAACATATCCATGACATTTAACAAATAGGCAACAATGTGACCAGATTATTTTCACTGGTATTAATAAAATGCAAACTGCTTGTGACCTAGAACCAGTTTGTCTTTAGAACCATTCACTTCGTGTTTATGAAGCAACTGCTTTCCCAGTCTTGTATTAACTTTATGCTAGCTGATCTGAAGGGACAATCAAATGTTTGAGGGGAAAACTAACTTTGTACTTCCATGTCCTGTGACATTCCTTGGTGCAGTATTATCATATAAGCAACAGCAAGTGGCTTTACTTCATATGAAAACCAGACCCAATGTAATCACATTTTCAAATCAGATAGCATTAAGTTTAAACAAACTAACACCAATACAATTGACAATCTGGGTTCCACAGTCAAAAACACAATGTAAGCAGTATACTCATCACCAAGCTGTTGAACAAAAATCTGTTATACTCAATTTCAAACGCTTGATGAATAAACCACAAAAAGATCACGAAAGATGACAAACAGATTACTACTTCAACGTAAAAAAATAATTTGCACTGGATTCCAAATGGGTAAATGTTCAGTTACCACCAAAACCTATTCATCTTTAACATCTGTCACAGAAGTGGCATGACCATTTGCTGGTCCTGCATCAGTTTCATCTCCAGTGCACGCTGTGTAAGGTGAAGTTGGTCGTTGTAGCCCCATATCGCAGTTTGCTCGATTTTGAGTCATATGACTTCCTACTTGTTGGGCAGAGGTCAAGCAAGAGAGGGACGGCCGCCTTAAATTACGACGAGGCAGATCAGGAAAACTTGCAAGACACTCACGGCATCCACCATCAGCAGCTTCAGGGTGAGACAGTGCATGGTTTTCTAGTTCGGCTCTAAAGAAAAATCGTTGATGGCAGTGGTGGCAATCATAAGGACGAGCACTGAGGCCATGTTCCACCATATGTTGCTGTAGCCGTGATGCAGTTGTAAACACGGAAGAACACATGTAGCATGTGAAACTTCCACAACCCTCAAATGTATGCTCAATAAGATGACACTGAAGACGAAGGGGGGTATCAAACGTAGCTCGACACAAGTGACACTCGTGCACCGATCCTTCATGTAAGAGGTGAGAAGCTACATGGGCTTCTATTTCCGCTTCTGATGCAAAGCTTTCTTGACACTTAATGCACTGATACGTACGAGAAGAGGATGTTAAAGAACGCCCAAAACCTTGCTGCTGCTGCTGCTGCTGTTGTGGCTTTTGGTGATGCTGCTGATGGTGGGCAGCAGCATGAGCTTCAGCCTCTTCAATGGTTTCTAGTTTTATATGACATTCTGGACACCGAAGCGAAGGCGAGTGTCGAGGACTGCTACTACTACGACTGCTGCCATTGCTATTTGTGGTTATAGTAGAGAGAGTAGCAGCAGTAGTGATAATGGAGGAATTTGATGAAGGAGGGAGCAATTCACCACTACTGAAGATACCCGATGTAACAGATGCTGCAGCAGCTGCTTGGGCTGCCTGAGCAGCATGAAAACGTGCATGGACAGTAACTTCCATGTCGGTAACAAGGGTCTGTCTGCACACTACACAGGGCTGAGGCAGAGGCGATTGGTGATGTTCATTCTGATGGTTTGTAAATTGCTGCTCTGATGTCAGGGGTTCACGACAGACTGCACATGCACTACCAGACACAACTTTAACATGAGTGAGTTTATGTTGAGCTAACAGGGCAGCCGATGGACATAATTCATCACAGATATTACATTTATGACGTCCACCATTACCTTGGTGAGACTTCATATGCGCCTCAAGGTCTCCTCGAGACTTGCATGCTTCACTGCAATATGCACAAAATAGGCTTAAAGATGCAGCAGCTACCTTAGCAGCCATGCCACCAGATCCACTTTTTATATTGTGAGCTTGTTTCCTGTGATTCAAAAGTCCAGAATCTGTAGAAAATTCTGCATCACAAATATCACACCTAAGATCCTTTTTCTGGGGACTACGACGGGGCTTTACCAAATTCTCTGGTTGGGGAATATTGCCATTGAGCTCTGAGTTGTGTTGTGTTTGCATGTGCTTGTCTAAAAGAAATTCAACATAAAAGGCATCTTCACAGAGAGAACACTGAAACTGTCTTTGATGTGTGGCAAGATGAGCAGCCAACTCTGCCTCAGAACTTAAAGTTAGAGTACACAACAGACATCGGTATGATCCTCCAGAACCACCAACAGATCCACTACCCGATACTGGGTCTCCACCAGATTGTGAACGCCGCATATGACTTACACGTATGTGTCCCTCAAATTCTGACTGAGACCGGAACACAATTGAACACCGTGTACATTTGTTTACTTTACACTCGTTACTATGTTTGACGGCAAAATGAACCTGGATCGACACTTTAGAATCAAACATATCCTTGCACAGAGCACAACGGTAAAGGTGATGAGCATGAATATCCATCAAATGCTTTTGTAATTCATCTGGCTTTGAAAAAAGTTTCAGACATGCTTGACACCCATACTCTGTAGATGTAATACCCAAATGGGTGGCTAGATGAGCTTCTAGTGAGGTTTCTGATGTTAATGGTAGACGGCACTCTGGACATGCTAGTTGCACTGCACCAGCCATTGTAGATGAAAGCTGCTCTCCTCCATCTAAGTGAGACTTCAGATGTCTTCGGAAAGCTTCAAAATTTGTAAATGGTGCATTACATTGGCTACAAAGTAGTGTGGAGGCAGGAAGATCTGAAGTAAGGTTTTCATGTCGGGACTTTTTACTCAAGTCAGTTGGCTTATCAGTTGGCGGAGAGGGTGGGCGTTTATTGAGCACTGCTGAAAGAACTGGTGCAGTGTGAACAAGTTTGATATGTTCAGCCAAGGCACCTGGGTTGCTGAAAGGCAGGAGGCATTGTGCACAGAAGACTCCCTCAGCGGCACGTGCTAGCAGATCCGTGAAGGTGTGTGCTGTCACGACATGTCTCTGAAGGGCTGTGACTCCCCCCACACGAGCCCCACACAGTTCACAGCTAACTCCTCGTGACGATCCAGGGCCGAGGGGCGAGGCTAAGGATGTAGTCAAACCACTTGCGCCAAGAGATGTGCCAAGAGAGGAGGGCAAACCCAACATTGCTGCCATGTCTCTAACCTCACCATTCAGTGCAGACCCTGGAGGAGAGAAATGATGGGGGGGGGGAAGAAAATAAATATATTCAAGCAAATTAACACAGTATTAAACTTAAACGCCACTATTTCAGAAATTCCATTAAACTCATTAGCAAACCAATACAACTAACCATGAGCAGATTGGAGATGAAGCTGCAAGGCTTCTAGAGAAGGAAATCCATCTCTAGAGCAATAAATGCATGCTAATTTTCCCCCAACAAGAGAGAGGAGAGGGTTGGGCAGAGGCCTGGGAGATGGTAGAGAAGATGGTGGGCGAGGTGATGGGGTTGAGGCTGCTGATGATGCACCACCTATAGATGATGCTCCAGAGCCCCCACCTCGTGATGCTGGCCGCTCGGCCGCTACCGTGTGTATTTCGTCCCCGTGGTACCGAGACAGATGGCGCTGAGAATGAAGCACACGTCAATTAGTTCGTTCTTAATTTAAATTTCATTAAAATTGAATATTATACTTACGAGAAACACACATTTGATGTTCCAAGAGTGTCCTAACCCATTATGTGCCTCTGTAACTACTGCCCACAGCATGTGGGGAGGATAACCAATAAACTAAACTAGACAAGACTCAGACTTTACCAAAGCAAAAATGCCATATAAAAATGGGGCATAAATTGAGTAATGACCTCTCCCAAATGCAATAAAATAATGTACTTCCTTTAACCAATTTGAAAGAGAAAGTAGTGTGTAATTAACATTATATTTTCCGTTATTGGGAATATTATATACCGTATGTGCATTGTTATTATAGTAACCTTACCTCTAACCTACAAGGTTTAAGGCAGACTTTGCTTTTCATCACCAAGTATCCCATTATAAAACTCTGATATATATATATATATATATATATACAAATTCATATATATTAGCTTACTTTTTGTACAGTATTAAGTACAACCCAAAAATATGTTAAATCAACTCACTATTATCAACTCAACTCATTATCTTAAATTATGACAAATGCTGTGCATAATTAATGGCTTTATAAAACGCAAAAGTTGTACATACTAATCTCTAATTCAGGGATTGCCAACCTTTTTTGGACTCTTGCTTTATTTTCTAATACTCAAAACACCTGCAACACCTGTCACACTTTCATAGCTGAAGATGTCTGATCATGATATTCACCACTTGCAAACTCTCAATGATTCCGATATACTAGTATTCTGAATTTTGGTTTCACGACCCACTAGTGGAGAGCCACTGCTCTAATCTAATCTAATCTAATGTTAGATCTAAATAATAATATTTTGCATAAATAAATCGCATTAACGTGATGACCAACCCACAACTCAGAAGATGGAGAAGTGACGACGTTCCGGTCCGTCCTGGACCATTATCAAGGTACACGACTTTCCAATGGTCCAGGACAGACCGAAACGTTGTCGCTTCTCCATCTTCTGGTGTGTGGTTTGGTCATCATTTCTTCAGCCACGTTATTATGACGCCTAGTCTGCACATTAAACGTCATGTACCAAGGAGAAAATCTGTAGAAGTCATGAGAAGGATTCAAACCTGCACACTGAGCAGGTTTGAATCCTTCGAATTCGAAGGTTGTTTATGGCGTATGACCAAGCATACGCCATAAATAACTACTAAGATTCCACTCTGCATTTGAAGAGAAGCGTTGGAGGTAGAACTCCTATACCACAGCCAGAGTGTATGGGGGGGGGGGTTAATGCATGAAACCCTTATTTGGGCTTTTATGGAAGCCTCAGGATCCCCTAGACTATTCAGTTGAATCACAGGTTGCACTGCTTTAGAGCATATCGTCGGAGAGTTTTTTAGGGCGTATGCTAGGGAGTACCCAATGTACAGGTTCGAATCCTTATCATGGCTTCTACCGATTTTCTCGGTAATATTTTATTGACATTTATATACCTTTATCTACTACACCGAGCAACAAATCTCAGTCTGCATCTAATTGCCAATTGTGTCTACTGATAGTGTTACAGAAGTGTTAAATACAGTTCATACTGTAACTATACTGCTGTAGCAATTCCTTCAACTTATGACCATTATTTGCCACCAAAGCTAGAGAAGCTAAGTAAACTCATTATTATTTTTAATTAAACACAATTATGGATATATTTTAATTTTTTTAGCAGACATTAAGTGGGAAAATTAAGTTAAAAACAACAATAGCCGGACTGTAATTCTTCTGGTCCATCTAGACATCTGGAGAACTAAATTCTGTTAAATCAACACACTTTATATAAAAAAAATTATCTTAAATAAAGTAGGTTCGATGAGAACAATGTATTGTTTGAATGAACATTAAATTTCATAAATAAGTGATAGGAAGGGTAATTCCCATATATCAATTTACAACGGTTTCACCCCCACGTTAGATTATATAATTAAATAATTCATATATATTAGCTCATTTCTTATGTAGTATTAACTATTATCTCAAACATTTAAATATCATTTCACCATATTAAGCTAAGCTGCAAATACTGTGTGTAATTAGTGGCTTTATAAATAATACAATTTCTGTCCCTATTATGTGACCACTGTAAGCTGATCCCTGTTCTATCTTACCTAATATTATTGTATTAAATAGAAGTGTACCAACCTGTAGGTGAGCTGGATTTCTACAGTGTGCATGACAGACGGGACAGCGGACAGTGGCCACTGGGGATAGTGTTGGCGAGGGCTCCCCCACTGGCGAGGCAGTCAGGTCACCTGGTGAAGACCCTGCTCCTAGTTCTAATCTTCTTGGACTTAATAACTGCTCCTGCAAACACAATGATACAGTAGTAATGGAGTTACTATACTTCCACTTGCAAAATCGTGCACAGAAATAGGAAATCTGAATGAAGGCCGTGAACCACTTTTTTCCCCCCTTTGCACTAAGCTACCATACAGCTTCAATTCATCGTTAAAATGAGCAGAAGCTAAGGATACAGTATTCCATGGCATAGCTACTACTTGTGCCAAGCTGTCTTGCAGTGCACTCTAGCGGAAATCATGGTTGAACAGTGGTATAATGATTTGTCGGGGACAAAGTCTCTTTCGAGGCCCACCCAAAGTTGAATACTGACTTCCCAGGATGCAATCCCACAATAGTTGCCCAACTCCCAGGTAATTATTTAACTGCTAGGTGAACAAAGGCATTAGGTGAAAAACGTGCCCAACCATTTCTTTCCAACCCAGGAATCGAACCTGGGATTCCAAATTGTGAGTCGGGAATAAAGCCAACTCGGGCACTCGAGCTAGGCCTTACTGATATGGAGTGCAGCCAAGTCTAGCTCCCTGCCTCACCACACCCACATGCATCCTGTGTACTCAGAAATTTAAGTTTTAGTGTGAATTGTTGACCACATCAAGCTATGCTGTTGTGAACCAAGATAAACATTTAAGCTGTATTTTACATGGAAACTTTCATAGGCATAAAGGAGACTTGGAAATTTGAAGCAGATACACCCACTTTCTCGTACCTAGAGCCTGTGACACAGTGCTCACTTGCAGGGCTGAAGCCCTACTTCTACTAGTATTACTTGGTAACTAACCACCCCATCTACTCCCTGAACACACCAAAATATTAACATGGTGCGCTATAATCTACTGTGATACTACAAATCAGCAAATACATCAGCATTTGTGATGCCATTGCAACCAATGTAGAGTTAAATGGGTTGGCACAGTGGGGGGGGGGGAAATACCGAGGATAGGGTGGTTGTTCCCCCCCTCGAGTAGAAAGGAAGAATGCATTAACCAAAAGGTGGATATCTATTTCAAGCCCAACAGGAAATGTCTCCATTCCGTCTTCACAGAAAATATCTTAGTATTGTAAATGAAAGTACAGTACTTGGACAATCACATTACGCTGTACCTTCATTAGGTCTCTAACGGTGGAACAGCTCTCACAAGGGCAGCTCCCAAACCTAGGTTCGTCTGGCTTTATTATTATCATTATTCTTGCCTCTTTAAGGATCCCTTTAATTTATATAATCTCTTTTTAACATAGCCACCTCTCTCTTGCCTACTTAATGCCCTTGCCTCCATCGTCTCTTCACTATCTACTTGATAATGGTCCAGGATGGACCGAAACGTCGTCGTCTCCAATTTATAGTGTGTGGTTTGGTCAAGATTTCCCAGTGCTATATAGTCGTAATGGCTTGGTGCTTTCTCCCTGATAGTTCCCTTGGTCAAGAGTTTTCAACCACGTTATTGTGACTCATCTGCATAGCCAACTACATCAAAACTAGAAATTTAATTCTTCAGTATATCTGTATATGTGAAGTAGATAAGCTATGCCATAATACTCTCGCATGACCCACAGCGCCCGCCCGCCTCCCAGATACCTATTTACTTGTAGGTGAGCGAGAGTACCATGTGGAGGGAAGCGAAGCCAAACATCTTGGTCCTGACATGGTAATCAAATCTGGGAACTTTCAGTTGTGAACCGACTGTGCTGGCACCTGTAGCACAGTCGACTATTAATGAGCGCTTACTCAAGTGCTCATTTGAACACAAATTGCAGCGAATTTAAAATTATACAGAGCCGCATCAGCTCGAATTAATCATTAACAGATTGGTATGAAATACCTTGCCGAGGTTGAAACTCTAGCACAAATTAGGTGAGAAACCCATAGACCAAGTAACATAGCACAAGCCTGGACCAGTGGGTGATGCACGACCTGATTTTGTATAGTACAATAATATAATGAACGTTTTGTAAATAATTTTAGTTGTGTGCTGAAATCAGGTATACCATCATTGCATGGTTTTATCAACTCTCCCCTTCCCCCTTACCACAACAATTTCACATATTTATAGAGATGATATACATAAATTACATTAATAACTACATTTATGAATGACATTACTGTAATCACATCGTACCAAGTGCACAGCTTACTTTTTGAGTATCTTTCAACAAGTGATTCAGAGTTTGCGTGTGAGCATCCCCTGAAGAATCCCTCAGGAGCTGGCTGAGAACATGGGCTTCTCCTCGAGCTTGAGCATCCTTCAGTAGCTGATTGAGTGCGTGTGCAGTGAGCTTGGTCTTATGGTTCTGCATGTGCGCAGTGAGCGCCGCTGCGGTGTTGTACCCGCGGTTACATATAGTACACTGGTATGGCTTCTGAGTGTCATGGGTCTTCTTGTGGATTTTGAGGTGATCACTGTAACATGCAATAATCAGGTTAAGTGTAGGAAAATAATAATAATGCACTTGTAATAATCATTAACAATCCATTTCCCACTGAATGCATATTACTATAGTTAAAATATTACTAACATTTAGAATGTGTGGGTCATCAAATACAGAAAACGAGAGTAAAAATACAGGGATTAAACTGATATGAATCAAGGAATGCAGCAAAGTCACTAAGATCAACAGATCACACTTACCATGTGACTAGATACAAGCCACATACTAATTCTCTATGTATATTTAAAGACATTTATGAACGTTAATAAGCTGTAAAAAATCCAAGACATAATTCGCTTTCTCAGGAACAGGAAGCCTCTATGTGTATGTATATCATTTACAAGCTATCTTATAAACAAAATTATTTAATTTTCAAAATTAATGATCATTATTTTATCATCCTATTTTCTAAACCAACAATGTTTTACCAAACTTTAATAGCTCTCAGTATTGGTAACAAAATAGCATATATTTCCGGAAAGCATGTTTAATGGCACACCATTAAAGCATGCTTAATGGTGCAAATGTTAATAAGAGCAAACTTTTAGAGAGCATGATTTACACTACTGAACCCATACAATAAAATTAGTATCCAAGAGAAAACCTACACAACACACTGTTTCCACAACACTCATGCCTAATAAACAATGTACATTTATGGATAACCATACGTGCTAACATTACAGTAGCGGTAATTAATGATTAAAAGATAATATTGATCAACTTTTTAACCAATTACCCGACAAAATATAAAGGGGAGGAACCATACTAGTTAAGACTTCCCTTTCATAACGGGTCTATTGGAAAATATTGCAATTAGGTGAATTTGTCACGTAGAGAAACTCATTGATTTGCAATAGTCGAGAGTTGGCAGAGTTGCGTCACGAAGACACCCACCTTCTGGAGAAGGCAGCCTCACAATGACAACACTTGTACTTCTTGTCACCTGTGTGCAGCTTGACATGACGGTCCCGGGAGCGCTTGTGCTTGAACAGACGCCCACAAAACTCGCATCGAAACGGGAGTTGGTCAGCATGCGTCTGAAGGCAAGGGGCGGGGGACAATTTAATAAAAACCTGAAGAAAACAGAACTAACAAAATTACAGTAAATTATTCTTGAATAGTAGTGTGGTAAATGACGTTAACAATAATTACCTACAAGCTAATGTTAAAGATATTAACACATACAAATTTATAAAAATATAATTACTCTAGACAGGATGGTTGTACGTGAAGAATTAATCAAGCGCGTGCGTGCGTACGTGTACACACACACACACACACACACACACACACACACACACACACACACACACACACAAAGTCAAAATCTGAAACACAGATTACATAGGAAATTTATAAATATGAATGAAGCAGTAGGGGAGAAAAGAGGGAGGTGAAGCAGAATATGAGTGATGGGTCTGGCTCATGAGATACACGTATAGGAAGTGTGAAAATCTGAATAATTATTGGGCAGGAAAATAAACAATAATAATAAGGGGAAAGCGGGAAAGTCGAGTAGCACGAGGTGGTTCAGGAGCTTGGCATATGAGAGCAAAAGGAAAGAAAAGACGGAACATTGAAGAATGCAAAGTACAAGAAGAGTAGTCCACGTGCAATGTGGTGGTGGTGATTGGCGGAATAGAGAAAGACAGTTAAAAAAAAAGCAAGGTGAAGATATTTTCTCCAAAAACAAAAAAAATATTAGGGATAATAAATGAGCGAGACGGAAGAGTAACAAAAGTAGGCGGATTACGACAAACAATGAGCAAGACGAGACAGGAGACACGGGGGAAACTTAGAACCATGTTATGACAACACTTAAGGAACCAAAGAAGAGAGACAAAACAGTGTCCTAAAGGAACAGACAAACGACTGAAGGAATAATCGAAGTCAAACATGAGATAAATAGACAATAGGTAAATAATAATAATGAAGTGTTAATGGCCTTACAAGACTACCATTCATTCACCAAAACAAAAAAAAACTTAAGGAAATTACTACATTTGTAACATGGCATGAAACAAAGCTGTTCCAGAAGCAGAAATATATGAAGGTATTATATATATGAAGATATTACAAAGGACCTAATATACTGATAGCAAGATAAAAATATTACCAGGCAGCTAGTACGGTAAACAGATGGACAGTAGTAGCAGAATGAACAAAATAAAGAAAAAAACTGTAGATAATACAAATGCAAAGGGAAAGAAAAGCTTTGTTATCAAATTCCATGAAGCCTAATAAGATTAGGTTAGGCTGGGAATATCAGTTACTGGCTAAGGATCACTTAACAGTACAAACTGCCCGAACAGTTTATACATACATTATTCATTTCAACAAACGCCATGAACAGGTCTCCTATAAACTTCTATACAGCTCTGAAGTTCTTTACATTCAAAGAGAGGTACACAATTCTTGATAGTTAACTCACTGATAGATAAAATGCACTGGCAGATAAATTCTTCACTTTCTTTTCCAACCCCTCGGCGTCCTCTTTCAGCTCCTCGGCGTCCCCTGTCAGCACCCCGGCGTCCCCTGTCAGCTCCTCGGCGTCCCCTGTCAGCACCCCGGCGTCCCCTGTCAGCACCCCGGCGTCCCCTGTCAGCTCCTCGGCGTCCCCTTTCAGCTCCTCGGCGTCCCCTTTCAGCTCCTCGGCGTCCCCTTTCAGCTCCTCGGCGTCCCCTTTCAGCTCCTCGGCGTCCCCTTTCAGCTCCTCGGCGTCCCCTTTCAGCTCCTCGGCGTCCCCTTTCAGCTCCTCGGCGTCCCCTTTCAGCTCCTCGGCGTCCCCTTTCAGCTCCTCGGCGTCCCCTTTCAGCTCCTCGGCGTCCCCTTTCAGCTCCTCGGCGTCCCCTTTCAGCTCCTCGGCGTCCCCTTTCAGCTCCTCGGCGTCCCCTTCAATGGTGAAGCAGGAGTGAGCATTACCAAATGTATTTAACAACTTGCTTGATTTATTGTTATCCAGAAAGAACACAGTTTCTGCATTCTTAGAATAGCTGCCCATGGTATCCAACATAGTCAATCCCTCAGTGCTTCGACCTGAAATTGACTGACTGTCCTGTGTTGTAACTTCATTGGTAACTTCATCTTCTTGGTAAAGAGGTTTTGGTCTTTTTTCAAAGTTTAAATTTCCATAAACACAAAGACTGTCTGTACCTTCCATTGCCTCCATTTTGTCTACTAAATCTTTATCTGTGGTTTTTTTCGAGTGTTGGGAGACGGGAGACTCTGTAGACTCTTCAATTTGTGGCCATGAATACATTGTTCCATTGCCTAGTGTAATCAACTCATAAAGATCAGTTCTGAGAGCTAAATCTAAGATATCCTCTTCCTCAGTATGGCTATCTTTTCTAGAAGGACTTTCAAATTTGTTGTTCTCGGGAAGTAAAACCAATTTAGGTAATGATTTAATATTCGAAGAAGTCAAAACATTTTCTGGGTGCAACTTATTTAAGAAAGGCTCGCTCTCTCTCAGACTTGATTCTTTTATTTTCAGACTTTTATCTATTTCACAATTACTGCTTTTACTAGTCGTTGAGTTGTTCACTAATGAAATATTCATAGCACTAGTTTCAGAATTGAGTAATACAGTTTTGTTTGGTGATGTGCTCAAATTGTTTCCACTTTCTTCATCAATGAAATTTAAATGGTTTAATAAATTTGTTTCTTCGAGTTTTTCTACTCCTGCATGTTCTTGTGGTGCAAATAACTGACAATTGAAGGCACTAGATTTGTCTGGAGTGTTCTTTCCAGATTCATTCAACGGTAACTGATAAATGCAAGAATTAAAACTGTTCACACCTGCACTCAAAACATTCCTCTCCATAAATACTGCTCCCAAGTTATTTGGCGAGCTACTGTTGAGTATCTCGACAGCTTTCTGACATGTTTCTCCATAAATATTTAAAAATTCCCTTTCGAATTCTGGGAATATGCCTTCATTACTTTGTATTCCATTAAAATAGGTTTCATCCATTACATTTTCAACCTTTTCACTTATCGCGTTGTTAATTGCCGGCGAGTGGCCCATTTCGTAGTGCAACACTTTTGAAGGTGCAGAGTCCTTACTACCGAGTCTGGCTTCAACATTATTTGCTATTGCCGTTACAAATATTTTGTGGTCTGATGAAGGTAAAACATTTCTTGGGCAGGATGGAGAGGCAAGTGAAGCAGAGACAGATCTATCTTCACCTACTGTGTTTGCACCATGATCCAATACACTGTCCTGCACGGGCCCAAGCCAAGGACCATTCAAGTCGATATTAACATTGGCGTCTACATTAACAGAAGAAACATAATCTAAGTTATTATGTGATTCTACGGGTTCCTCATCTGACGACGAAACATCACTGATTCCTTCACAATCTTTAAAACCATGTGTTTTGGATGGAGAGGCATTGTTACCAAGAGACCAATTGTCGCTTTTTTGAGACAGAGAAACTGATTTGTTGTTCGCACAACTTTCAAGCACTGCTGGACTGGGCGACGCGGTACATACATCATCCCTATGTTGCTTCTCCAGATTATTCTTGTTCAAAACAATTATTCTCCTTCTCTTCTTGGCTTTAGGTAGAATACAAGAATCTGCCTGCGAGATAACCTTTAACTGGTGTGGTCGTAGAACACAAGGAGCAATCTTGTGAATGAGCTTAAAGTGAGCACCTTGCCTAACAACAGACGAAGGCGACACTGTTTTGTCTATCAATTTAGTTTCTAACAAGGAAGGACTGTCATCAGCTCCAATGGATTCCAATGGCAGAGGAGGCTCTTGTTGGTGCTCATCACTCTGCAAACTAGAGATTTCCATTTCAGTCGATTCATTACCATCACCATTCTTATTGACACTAATATTGCCAGTCTCTGATGGTTTTTCCAACCAGCAATGCTCGTCTTTAATTGGTCTCGATTTTTCTTGGAAAATTTGGGGCTTGCCCGAATTTTCCCCAAACTCTTGTAAAACTGATAAATTACCTCCTTCAAAAATATTAAAAGCACTGTCTGATGGCCGACGAATAAAATTAGAGTTTGCAAGTAAATTTGGCGTATTACATTGAGTAGTAATTAGCAAGTCTTTTAATGAAGCACTTTCCTCTGCAAAAAGTCTTGAGGACTTAGAGATATTTTCCGATACTTCTCGAAGCACATTTATATTATTTTTGTTTCCATTCTCAGTTTGAGAATTTGTGTTCAAGCCAATTTCTCCATCTTCAAATGTTTTGGAAAATACAGTGCTGGCTACTTTGAAATACTCTAGTGACTGTGGGAGGGAAGCAGCCCTGTGCTCTGGGTCCCTTACACGACCTGTTGCTTCTGGATACGGGGTTCTCAGGTCTGTATCGTGACGGTTCGCCTCTGTACCCACACTTGGGCTTGTACACAAATTATTTCCATTATTAACCAATTCATTTGCTGAAATGCAGTTATACTCTTTAGAAATATTGATGATCTTATTCACTTCATTATTATTATTTATTTGATGCATCTTCGCTATTCTAAACATCCCCAGCTGTCTTTTCTTGGGAAGAATGTATGGGTGATACCTCAGGAACTTCCATTTTGAGGCCTCCTTTACCACCACTGATGACAAGGTTATGGCACACTCGGTATCAGTCTTGTCCCCATTATTACTCCCGGCATCAGTCTTAATACACTGAATACGATGCTCATTAGGCAAAACTAACCTGTTAGTTTCGTCTGATATTATATTTGGGGTTTGTTCATAGGGAAAAGCACTACAAGTGGTATTCTCAAGTGTACATTCAAGAAGGCTGTTACCGGCTGCATGTTCTTCCAGACAGTTGGACACACTAGTGTCTTTGGAGATTTTGTCACTTGCAATGGAGTCGCAGCTGTGGTCCAGGGAATATGAAGGCTTTTTATAGTTAGACCCGATCTGTCTGGGAAATCTCTCTCTGCATTTAGATTTCAGGGGAAGCGTGTCTTTAACTGGTTCTCCCTTTATATTGGTACAAATAGTTTTGCCATGTTCCATAGCATACAAATTTTCAGGACACCTCCGAGTAGAAATTTCAGGGCCACATATCTCCAACTTGAATTCATCAGGAAGTGGGCGAGTTCTTACCTGAATTATCCTAGCAGTGTTTTTCTGGTCAGTGTGTTCATTATCCGACTCACAGGAAAGCTCCCGAGATTCCCCACTTTCTCCTGCATTGCCCCCAGTTCTTACTTTGATGTGAATGCTAATGGGCTTAGTGGTTGGAAGGGATAGGTCTACTGCCCTTGTCACCATTTGGCCTCCACATGTTTGCAAACACATTTCTTGCATACAGTCATCTTTCACATTATTTAATTTATCGTTCTTTTCGACTGCACTAGTTTTAATTTTTAAACTTTGTCTCTTGGGATTTTTGGTGCTGTTGCTGCTCACAACTTTTGTGGCACACTTATAATCTTCATTTTTTTCCCCATTATGTGTTACAGTTTTTGTAGGAATGTCCTCTGTATATAATCTCGTGGGCAGCTCTTCGCCACAGGAGCTGCTGTCTGGTAAATATTTACACCTCATAGATAGTATATAGTTACTTTTAATGTTCTCCAAGTCCGACTTGGAAGGACTTGAATGCCTGCTAGAGATGGGGCATACCTGCCCACAGATTTGCTCACATGGTGGAAATTGATTAGAGGGATCATGCGATATGAACGAGTCCAAAATTTGGACATCATTAATACCGGAAGAAGGTAAACCACTAAACAGAATTTCCGGCCATGGTGTTGGCGTTACTTTTTGATGCACAGGTTTACAAATTTGTTTACACGATTCATTCTTAAGAAAACTATTTCTGGAGTCAAATAAAGGGGGCATCCAAGTGCAAATTGGCAAAGGGCACGAAGTAGAATAGCCGTTTTGGTTTACAAAACATAAATAAGGACCCACGTCTTCAACTTTAAATGCGTCCACATCATAACTATTACTCAACATTTGTCTGTACCGTGTACCACTACCTGGGCATCTACTTTCACTACCATGTGACTGAACAAATCGAGGTGCTGGCCTACCATAGTCTGGGGTTTCAGGAGGCTGGTCAAAGGTTGCCAGTGGTGCCACAGACTGGCAAGGGGCAGAATATTGAGCTTCTGTGGAAAATAAGGTTTGGTTTGACTTGAATTTCTTACCATTATCAAATTGCGTTTCACAGAGTCCCTTGGAAAACTTATCCAATTTTGCAATGTTCCGACTCCTGCTTGGCACTCTGCAATGTAACAAGTAGTCTTTTCCTTTAGCAAAGGGTTTTATTTTTGACTCTCTTAGTGAGAGGTGGCTGTGGGCATTGTTGGAACCAGTCCTGCTTTGCCTCAAATCCCAAGCGCACTCTGATATATTTGGCTTCTCTCTTTTTCTCATTTTATAAGCAGCGTGTTTATTGACTTTCTTTGACTTTTTGCCTTTGACTTTTTTTGCCTTTTGCCTTCTTTCTTTCTTCATTCTTTTATTTTGGTGCAATCTCAGCCGACCATTATTTGTTCTTTCAACTTTCTTGGAGCAAATTTCATCAACACTTCCTTTTTCCTGTGTTTCATCGACTATACAGTTATCTTTAGTCGATGGAAACATATTCGAAAAGCAACCTGTTGTTGCTTGCGAAGCCTGGCTCTCGCAGCCATTATGATCATGACGAAATGTTTCAAACTTTACAGGATAGGATAGAAAACTATTGCTAACAGGCGTTTTCATGGGGCTAGCATTACATTGCATTAAATTACCCGGAAACTCATGAAGATGCCTCATGCAGAGAACATTTTCATTACTAATACTAATGTTATCTTGACCTTTGAGAACATTTTGTTCCATCAAAAGGTCTGTATAGGTGGTAGAACATAAACCTTTAGCATTAAACTTACCCCGCACTTCTGAACACTCTTCATCGCTGGAGCTAGTAACACACTGCCTGAATTTTGGACATTTTACTTTACTCTCACAGTCTGAACACGACTGCTTTGTGTCCTTAAAGGACCATGATAATGATGAAACTTTATCTTCAGGCGTTTTCAGCATTTCTGTATAATCAGAGATTTTACCTTGTGTCAAGGGGGTGCTATTAAGGCTTACCTCTGCATTTAGTCTTCTCAGCTCCATTTCAATAAAGTGAAACACTTCTTCAGAAATACGATTACTTACATTAACTGGGGCACGATTCTCTCTTAGGTTTTTTAATTCTTCCTCAACATAAGTAAAAACTGTATCTTGTGTCCATACATTTACACAGGATCGGTTTCCAGAATTTTCTTGCATTTGCAGCTGGCTACCGGTTTTCATCGTCTCCTCAGCGTAAACATTTTCACTATTTGAGTCTCTTACGTACATATTAGATATTGTTTTAACACTTCTATTACCTGTGGCACACAATTCTTCATCCCTTGATAACTTCTCAGCCAAAATCATTGACTCCCCCAACCTGTCATTCTCAAGTCCATGACGCGTCTCGAATGCTTCATCAGCAAACTTCTTTCCGAGTGGCAGCCACCGACGATGTTGCAAGTTTGTTTCAGAATTGTGATGTTTATTGCATCGCTGAGTTAATAGATTTCCTACTTTTCCTTGCGATTGCCCTTGATTTGAACAGATGAAATCGGTGCTAAGCAATGGCACACTGTCGCACATCTGTGGTCCTATATCCCTTTTCTCCGATATTAAACAAGTTTCGTTTCCTCTTGTCGTTTGTGATACTTTCTTTTTGCTAACAATCTTGCGATATTTAGAGGTGTGTTTTGCCCTTCGTTGCGCACTCTCATATCTTTCAAGCTTCCTACAAACTGATCCTTTGAGGCTGTTGACTCCATGAAAATCAAATACATTACTTTTATTTGAGATCTCCTGACTACTGGCGTTGTCCTTTGTGGCGATGCGACTGACCCTGACACGCACATTCTTGCTGCCGGGTTTCTTAATCTTCGTATCATTAACAGAGCGCTTCCCTTTCTTGTATTTTAGTTCACATCCCAGACAATCACTTGTCCATTTCTCTTCCTGACCTTTATCAAGTTTCTGTGAGAGTGAAAGCAAGGAGGGAGAAGAGAAGGCAGTGGAAGCAGGGGACACATGCAAAGCAGAGCATGCAGTAACAGTCGGCCAATGGTCAGTTTTTAAGCCATGCAGCTGAAATATGGAAAATATACGTTAAAGAACATAAAAATGGCTGTATACATTATATACGATGCATAGAAAACAATATAGCATGTGAAGATACATTCCTGTTTTACAAGGTGTATTCCATAATAAAACTTTACCATCATGCTATCAATTATTAAAGATAACACATTTAAAGATGTCAAGAAATAGAATGAAATCCCGACTTTATAGAAACGAAGGTAACTTGGAAACTCTTAAGATATAGCTTGCTGTAACAAATATTACTATAATTATAAATATCACTTCATTTTCTATGCAGTTGAAAGAACTTGGATCGTGAAAAATATTATAATCTCGCAATTTACTATAAAGAACATTATCAAAGTTAGGCTGACCAGGGTAGTGTGGGAAGAGGTAACTATATCTAAATATTTAACTAGGCAAAGAAAAACAACATTTATGAGCATAAAATATGATAAAAAAATAAAACTTACTGAAAAAAGAAATCAGTGCTTAACATTGGTGTACAAACGCACATATTGCACTCTATACTATTCAATCACCACAAACACACACAGCTGAAGCTCAACCCTCGCAAGGACAACTGAGTACCTGAAATCATTTAGCCTGCCATCTCTTCACCCCAAAAGGGAAATCCTCAATTATGTTCCCTTGTACTGTCAGCTCAAGAGCCGAGGTGTCAATTAAACCTTAAACCTTTCATATACTAGGGTAAATGTCTGACAACACTTAGGTCTACATGGAACACTTATCTATGCATGTATAATCTACTCCATGATTTGATCCATTTAAGATTACTTTTAACATCTCAAAGCAATTTCAAATACATGTTTAGCTATCTAGGAGGTTTTCAGTCACTATTTGCATGCAGCTAGGAACTGGAATTTAGTGTAAACATTTTCCATGTTTCTGAAATTATGTAAAAGTGTATATAATATACAAGAAGTTGGAGAGGGAAAATAATTTACAATTTCCTTCATAATTTACTTCATAATTTACTGGAGGTAAATTTACTTCAATTTACTTCATAATTTACTGGAGGTGTAATATTGAGAGAGAATACAAAATGCATCAATAAGTGATGTTATAATGAGCACAGCAAAATAAAATTACAATTAGAGAATTTTTTTTTACAAGGAACCAAGGTCACACTGCTATGCTAGTGTATTTCCTCATAGAAAACCTGAGCACACGTCTCCATTCTCTACATCAGGGAGATGAAAGCATAATACACTGTAGAGTGTAGTGGTGCGCGAGCCTGGAGTACAGGCCTAAACCGCCGCCTCATAAGATGGTGTTGTGTTGGACAAATCTTTTACAGGAAGTCATGCAAGAAATACTGGTGTGGTGGGGGAGGGGAGGGGACGGACCTGCTCGTGGCGCTTGAGGTAGGAGAGCCGAGGGAATGCTCGATCACAGAAGGAACACTGGTAGGGCGTGGTCTGGGTCACGCCCACCGTGGCCGCAGCTTCTACGTCCGTCTCTGAGGCAGACGTGGGCGTGGCAGAGGATGCTGGAGAGAGAGATCCCCGTCCGTCAGAACCCACGTCCCATGATGACCCGCCCACGCTCACTTCTGCAACACAACCAAGCCAATTATACTCCAGTCGGCTCCCAAGCCCACAACGCTACGCCTATCACATTAATATGTCTACAATTTGTTTAATAAATAAAAATGTACAATTAATTCATTGTTATTTATTTCTAATAAGTGTGAATATGGAGAAAATAGTTAATAGCCTAAACTTAAATTTATTTATATTGCGAAAGCGCTCAGAAGAAAAATAGACATCGTTACTAGTTTTTTTTTTACTTGGTCAAAAACACACAGGCTTTTAGAATGTTACAGTTTTAACAAACCTCCAAGAGGGGTCAGAAGGTAAACGTTTAAGAGAGTTAGAAGATAAAAACTACCCAATTTGCTATTTAGCAAAAGCCTTATCCAAGTGGTCACCATCCGATCACTGTCCAAACCAAAGGGTGGTCCAACCATACTAAAACATCGCCGTTCGGAATAAAAAAAAAAAGTGTGACCATGATGTTACTGCGCACAAAAGGAAGTACTGACAGTAGAAAGATGGATTTTTACATTTACTAACGATACGAACCCAAAGACTAATCATCAACAATGTAAAATTCGGATTATCTAAAGTAATGCTCAGCCCCCCCTCCCCCACAGGGTATTAGGCTTGCTCCAGTGCCACCAACGCAAACTTGTCCCCTTGCAAAGAACGTTACATTTCGCTCGTATGCGTTACATAAGGCCACAAATTGTACTAGAAAATGGAAGCGGCTCGCGAAAGTGACTACCGTCCCATTTTCTGTTTTGGGTCCTCTGGTAGGTTAGGAGAGGACACTTTAAATTGACCGTTTTCTTGACTTTGGGGAAGCTTATGAAGACGGGCTGACCAACTAGAGGGAATGGTCAGAGACCGGGCCACGTGGAGACTGACCCCCCAGAACCAACAACAGCTAAACAGGTAATGGCCTAACAAAATAATTATGAATGTACATTGAAATACAGTACAGTATTTCTAATCACAATCTCTGTTGGTAGATGGCAAAATCCGAACGTTAAAAAACACCAGAAAAAATTAACAAAATTGCAACTTACCAATACTACTACTAATAATTAGTTTATTGGAAGGAAACAAACTTACAATATTACATTATTTAATTCTCCCTCCCAATCTCCCTCTCCCCCCTCTGTTCCTACATTATCATCATCCTCCTCCTCCTCCTCTCCCTCCCTCGCTCGCTCAAGAAATATGTAAATTCATTCAAAATCACATACGTAATATAGAGAACATTGGCGTAGCATCCCAATCTGATGCAGCGTAAGGTGCGCATGCTCCTGGCCAGCCTTGGCGCCCCCACACACTGGGTAAGGTGCCTGGCCAGCCTTGGCGCCCCCACACACTGGGTAAGGTGCCTGGCCAGCCTTGGCGCCCCCACACACTGGGTAAGGTGCCTGGCCAGCCTTGGCGCCCCCACACACTGGGTAAGGTGCCTGGCCAGCCTTGGCGCCCCCACACACTGGGTAAGGTGCCTGGCCAGCCTTGGCGCCCCCACACACTGGGTAAGGTGCCTGGCCAGCCTTGGCGCCCCCACACACTGGGTAAGGTGCCTGGCCAGCCTTGGCGCCCCCACACACTGGGTAAGGTGCCTGGCCAGCCTTGGCGCCCCCACACACTGGGTAAGGTGCCTGGCCAGCCTTGGCGCCCCCACACACTGGGTAAGGTGCCTGGCCAGCCTTGGCGCCCCCACACACTGGGTAAGGTGCCTGGCCAGCCTTGGCGCCCCCACACACTGGGTAAGGTGCCTGGCCAGCCTTGGCGCCCCCACACACTGGGTAAGGTGCCTGGCCAGCCTTGGCGCCCCCACACACTGGGTAAGGTGCCTGGCCAGCCTTGGCGCCCCCACACACTGGGTAAGGTGCCTGGCCAGCCTTGGCGCCCCCACACACTGGGTAAGGTGCCTGGCCAGCCTTGGCGCCCCCACACACTGGGTAAGGTGCCTGGCCAGCCTTGGCGCCCCCACACACTGGGTAAGGTGCCTGGCCAGCCTTGGCGCCCCCACACACTGGGTAAGGTGCCTGGCCAGCCTTGGCGCCCCCACACACTGGGTAAGGTGCCTGGCCAGCCTTGCATCATAAGCACATGTCAGCTGTATCTATCCTTCACCACAAACGTAAATTGCTTAGCCTTACAATTACTGAACTCCTTTACCTCCCCTCCCCCCTTCAATACTTTATTAACTGTCCTGTCATCGAACTAGTTATGAATTCATAAGACGGCAATTAAACTATACTAAGGAAGCATCAGGCGTTGAGATGACAGCCTAGTTTTCGTACACACCTTAACAAGTCTATCTACAATATACTAAACAACCTCCAATTCTCTCTCAGCCTATTACGGCTATCAATAATTACCAGTTATTTTGTGTGTCTTACTATATTTTAATATAATTTTGTCCGTAGCACAGTTGCAACTACCTTTTGTTAGGCTGCAACCTATCCTCCTGTTTAGATTGTATCTATTGTGACGGTCGACAATAGTCTAAATTCGTACTTTTAGCTTTTAGATAGTAGTATAATGACTTAAACAACTTTTAAAATAACTGAAGCTAAACATAACCTTAACTATTCCTAGGCCTAGTATTGCACACATATGTACTATATTAAGTCTCATATCATATTAGGCCTAGGAAGGTTAGGTTAGTTTAATTTGTCAAAGAATCGCGTAAAAAAAGTTTTTCGGTTTGTTCGACTCAATAGTTCAGATTTCAACGTTCTAATTTCGCTGTACGTCGGCGGCATATAGTGACGATGAGGACCATTGTATACAAGTACTACCAAAACATGAGGATGGGCTGTTGTGTGGACCTAGGCCCTTCCCCTGTGATGTAAGACTAAGTCATACTTACATAGCTGCCTGCTGTTATTACATCATGTACACATTAACTATTTATCCCCACGACCAACACATGTTAGACACCAGTCATTCCAACAGCGCCAGTGCTCGCTGGCATAGCTGCTCGCTGGCACAGTTGCTCCGCATGCAAGCACGTGTCACGTTAAGTTTATCAACGGTATGTATAAAAGTACGTTTCCATTTCAATTATTTTCATATTTCAAGCGACAATATTTTAATACAAACTACTTCACTAATATCACGCCTTGTCAAGTGTTGACTAAGATTATTCATAATTAACTAATGAGTAAGAAGCCCTTCCAACGCATCACTTTAGAATTTTCAATTTGTTGTTCTTGGCAAATAAGAGAAAAATATATTACAAACCTCTATGTGAGACTATGAATTGTCGAGTCAACAGTTCTGGAGAGGTGGAGCCCACGTTATTAATGCACTGCACCCAAGATAACACGAGCGTGTCACCGGCTCACCATAGCCAGTGCTACTTGCCCCACTCTTGTGTCAGGTAAAGTCCACTACGGGCTCACCATAGCCGTGTTACTTGCCCCGCTCCTGTGCCAGGTAAGCTACTGGCTTACCATAGCCCGTGTTACTTGGAACTTGTTCCGAGTAGCTGAATCTATAACAACAACAGATAACACGCCACTGAACAATGATGTGCAATGTGGTATATTGTCCCCCCCACACCAGTCAGTGGCGAGGACGCACTCCACACCCGCCTCCAAACAAGGCCACACGTCTCACTGGCTGCTGTAACCCTCAGAGCCCACATAACTAGTCTGCCCGTTGCCTCCCCTCCCCACGCCCACAGACACCCCGGAGCGCCCCCACGCCTCGCCCTCATACTGACAGGAAGGGCGGGGGAGGGAAGACCCCCCATGGGAGCCCTGCGCTGGAGGGTGCGGGCCCCAGGGACACGGCCTGCCAGGGGTCCGAAGAGCTGAATTACACTTAGCTCTACTCCACGCTCCTCTTCTCCTGCCACACCTCAACACCTTTAAGCAAATTTCTACCTAACTTTTAATGATAAATTCTAAATAAAAGCCTACATAAACTGTTATTTAAGCCTACCAATATATTGCAGCTTGTTTATGCGATGCCCTGCTCTACCCGTCCTCGTCCTCCGTGAACTATACCTCTCCCCCGGCCTGCACCCTGACCCAGCCCCCCGACCTGCACCCTGCCCTGCACCCTTCCCCCCCTGCCTGTACCCTGCCCACACCCCCCCCCGGCCTGCACCCTGCCCACAAGACTAACCAGCAACCCTCGTATGAATGTATTCAATTAATTAGAATTTTTATGTCTCCCCTCAAAGTGTGGCCGCTGCGCCTCCCCCCTCCCAAAGCTTCCTTCCCCTCCCCCGTATCCCAGGCCATTCCCCTCCCCCATTTTCCTAGGCCACCTCCATACGCCCCCCCCCCCTTCCCTTGGTGACCTGCACAGGGGCCCCCCCCCATTCTCTAGGCCGCCTGCACGCCCCACATTCCCCAGGCCGCCTGCATATCCGCCCCACCCCTTCATTGACTGCAATACCATGCAGCTTTACGAACAGAACAGCCAGAAACAGGGTTTGTCGCGACACGGGAGACGAGATCACACTGGAAAGTGTCACAAGAAAGCTGCATATCTCCCATTCTCACTAACACAACTGACCTACCCTCTTCCCACAACATTGTATATACAGACGAGTAAAATAATCTGCCACCCAAGACAATCAAAAGAGTTACTGACAAAGTAGGCCGCATTAAACTTAAAACTGCCTATCTTTCGTCCATTATAAAACTTATCTAAATAGTTTCATAGCTATTTTGCTATTTTATATCGTCTGCAGTTTGCAAATGCTGCTGTTTAATTCTATGTCCTAATCGCTCATAAATGATAAACACGGATTCCAGGACAGAGTCCCGAGGCACGCTACTGGCAATGGCTTCCCACTATGATTTCAGTCCATTCATGCTAGCCCTGTTTCCACTGAAATAATCATGTTGTATTCAACCTTGAATACTCCCCCCCCCCCCAATCCCTCCTCCCTAAATATAGTGTACCTCTACCTTTCTAAAGTCTCTTCCGGGAGGCGTGGTACCAGACTTCGCCGAGGTCAACATGTAGCCTATGGAATATCACAAACGTCTCCACTGTTAAG